TGAGAGGCCAGGCACAGATATGTGAAGGGGGACCCTACATTATAAGGCCCTAAATGTCAAGTTTGAGAGTGAGGACTTTGGACCTGGGATGGACCTCACTGTATGACTTGGACACCAAGTCTGAGTTTCTCCACGAGTAAGCTGAGAATACTTCATAATGTTATACTAGATACTTTAAATATCCTTCTATAGGCCTTGCAAGGAAAAATCAGTTTTCTAGACGTTCAGAGGGGAGACGGTCACTGAGAGCTGGAGGGTTCAGGAGGACTTCCTGGGGGAAGCCTTCCTTCCCATCTCCGTGTTGGGGCCTTCAATCAGGGACACCTTCCAGGTTTCACCTTCTTTCACTTGCACTGCAGATGTTGACACTGTGGATGGCCTTTTCCTTCTGGAAACGCTTTATTCTGTGATAGACATTGTCCTCTCTCCTCTTGAGTCTTCCTCTCTGTCTTGTTTCCTGACCATTCCCTGCTCCTCCTGCCCCGCAGAGGCAGGCCCGGCGCCCTGCGTCCTGCTCTCCCGACTGTCTTCTACACCCTTCCTCTGGAGAGCCATCCTTCCCCTCTGCTCCAGCACCCCCTTTCTGCTCACGACTTCCAGGTCTGTGTCTCCAGCCCTCTCTCTCCTGGACTTTCCGCCCATATTTCCAACTACACTTGAACTATTCTTTCAGCAAATCCTTATGGAGAGTCCCCTCTGTGGTGAGGATGGACATAGTCTCTCCCCTCGTGGAGTTTACCCATCACCCAGCAGCCAGTCACACCACTGGCCACCTAATTACAATCGGGACAGGGTACAAAGGAGAAGAAATGTCTACCTAGGAGGTTAACTGGGTTCTTCATGGTCAGGAGAGGCGTGAAGAATTAGGGTTTGAGGTGAATTGGGTGGGTGAGCAGGGAAGTGAAGGAAGAGGAGGAGGGACTGAGAGGCTCTCTGGCATAGAGGGCACATGGCTGAAGGCCAACTGAGGAAGGAGTGGGCATACAGGAGAGCCAGGAGAAGGTCAGAGCAGGCCGTGGGTTGCAAGCATGGCCACGGGGGAGGGTGTGAAATGAGGCTAGGGCCAAGGAAGGGCCCGAAAGGATGTGTTGAAGGTGTAGGCCAAACGCTGTGAGCTTGAGAAGGTTGTGATCATATCTGGACTTCTAAAAGATCGCGCTGCCGCTGCAGTCTGGACAAAGGCAGGAAGACTGCAGTTGGAGTCAGGAGGTGACAGTGAGGGTCCAGGCGGCTGATTATTCTGGTCCGGACAAGGTCATGGCAGCAGAATGAAAGAGAGGTGGCCAGGCTCTAGAGGTACTTAGGAGATGAAGTCTCCAGGATTTAATGACAGATTTCATGAAAGAGTGATAAAGAGAGATAGTCATCTCAAGGATGATTATTGGGCTTCTGGCTGGCTCAACTATTCATGGCGCCAGGGAGCACTGGAGGGGGAGCAAGAAGCAAGTTATGGCATGTTTACAGGGTAGAACTTCGAACGTTGAATTGATTTCTTGCAATCTGTGCTGGAAGTGATTCCAAGGGAGTCAAGTGGGGAGGTTGAGTGTATTAAGCTCAGAAGGGTGTCTGAAATGGAGATGTAAAGGTGGGAGGGAGTCAGTGGTCTGGGAGATGGTCTAAGAGATGGGTAGAGAGGTGAAAAGGCTAGGGCCCCGGGAGGTCCAGCATTTAAAGGTCAGCAGGGAAAACCAAGGGGCCAGAAGGGTAAGGGAAAAACCAGGGAGTATGGCACCCTGGGAAGAGAGTTCTAGAAGGAAGTCTCGAGAGGGCAGCCAAGACAAGTATCACAGAAAGGTCAGGGAGATGAGGACTAGAGACTGTTCCATGGATTTAGGGACACAGAGGTCACATGTGACCCTAGAGAGAGAGAGCCATCTTGGCAGCACCATGAACAGAGGTGGGTTTGAGGAGTGAGTGGGGAGTGAAGGAATGGAAGCAGGAGACATGGAAGAAAATGAGAAGGTGAGGGTGAGAGCTTTAGTGACTTTGTAAAAGGAAGACAGGTGCTAAGAAGGATCCGGCAGAAAGGAAAAGATTGATAAGACAGGAAAGAAGGAATACCCCACAGTGATTGAGGCTCTCGAGAAGGGTGGGGCCAGGGGACCCAGTGGACTGGGGGCTGATCTCAGGGAGCAGAAGAGACTCTCCCCTGCTGTACCAGGAAGGAGGAGGAGAGAGCAGGTGCAAATGAAGGTGCAGGTGGGGGCAGGTCTGCTTGTCCTCAGTGGAAAACCAAGAGGCCTTCCAGCTGGTTGAGGCGACAGCAGGGTGGGTGTTTAGGAGAGTGGAGAAGGTGGGAGTGGCGTCCATCAGACTGGAGGAGTAAGTTGACCGGAGAATCGTAGGAAGGTTGTTGTGGCGCATAAGAGCCCCCTTGATGTTGGTGACCATGAAAGCAGAAGGACACCTATGTGCCCCACGGTGTGTTTTTCTCTAGAGAACATTGCATAGAAAAACCAAGCATTGTGTTCTTCAAGGTTGGGGTTTTACTGGGTAAATGTGATCCAAGGGCGGAGAAGCAGGGACATCTCCAGGTTATTGTCTTTATTTTCAATATATCCCAAATCCGCGATCTCATTACCTTCTTCCCACTGCTTCCCAAATCGGTTCCTCTTTTGAGATTCCCCATCCTGGTTAATAAGAATACAACCATGTAATAATACCACTAATAGCGGTCATTTATTAGGCACACATATCAGATGTTATACCAGATATTTTAAAACTCGTCTTATCTGGTCATCATTACAACCTTATGGGGTATGTATTATTCATTTTACAGATGTGGAAACTGAAGCTCAGAGACATTATGTCACTCGCTCAAGGTCTCTAGTAAATGGCAATCAGAATGAAAGAAAACAGGTCTATAAGGCTCCAGAGTCCTACCTTTTCCCACGAGCTCCCCTGCCTTAAAACCACCTCCTCCTTCCTCTCACCTCCCCCACCAGGGCAGCTGTCACATTCTGTTTGTTCACCTCTCACATGTCTTCTGTATCACTTGTTACTTCCTGTCACGCCCCTTCACCCCACTCCGTGTTGCTGGATGTCCACCTCAATGTAAGCTCCATGAGGATAAGGATCATTATCTGTCCTGTCTTCTGGTGCGTCCTCGGGGCTTAGAACAGTGCCAGGCAAACACTATGTAACACTCAGTAGCTATTGAGTGAAAAGATAGATGCCCATTGGGAGACAATTCTCCATGGGTGTCTCACATTTCTGCAAGTCTTGTGGGCAGAGGCACGGATGACTTTTTGTTCCAGACGATCTTTTTGAGGATATTTGCATAATGAACAGCTTTGGAAGATAGTCTCCCTCAGTGGAGGACAGGCTTGTTTGCTGTAAGATAATAATGTCTCCCTCCGGGGCAAAGGTTGGCAGCTTTGCTTGCAGCCCATTATAAAGGATTGGGGTTCCTAAACTTAGAATTCCTCACTGAGTGCAGGATCACCCAGAATCAGCCCCAGGTCCTTCCCATGGGCCTTGGGGGTCAAGGGGAACTGATTTGAAAGTGAAGCTCACGCTGTCTCCTGCGCTATGGGTAATATATTAAGTCCTTCGTCTCTGGCCCAGGAATCTCATGTCTTCTGCCAGCATCCACGAAACCGTGGAAGGCTCACTCCTTACTCTGCAAGAGTTAAATCTCAGAGTCTTCCCAACTCGTGGTGCAGTCCTATCACTTGTCAATAGGACAATGGAGAAATAGCCCCCACCTCCACCGCCTCCTCCCAAACACTGCCTCTGATGCCAAGACCTGCTAGAGCAGAGAGAATTTATCCCAGACTCTCCACACAGCCCTCCAAGGCCCTGGATGATGGCTCCCACCTCCCTAACCTCACCCCTATTGCTCTACCCCTCCATCTCAGGCAATCACCCCCCCCCCCCCCCCCCCCCCCCCCCCCCCCCCCCCCCCCACACACACACTTCTCCACTCTCTGGTATCTTTGCTTTTGTCATGCTTTCCCCTCCACAAAAGCCAACCTTCTCCCCTTGCAGCTGCTGAAGTCCTGTCCACCCTTTGAGGCCAGGATCCCAGCTCACGTCCTTAAGACCTGCTCAGAACCCAGTCAGAATTTCCCTCTCGCCTCCTCGTCCCCCACTTTCCCCCATCTTGTAGAGTCCTTCCGTCCTTTGGCCTGGTCTTGTGGCTATCTAGGTAAGCCCCACTCTGCCGGTTCCAGAGGCTCCACGCTCAGTTCTGTGATCTTCTCAACCCCTGCTGCCCACAGCATACAGTAGGAGCTCGAAAGAGAAGTACTGTAGTGAAGTTGAACTGCACGGGGAACGGTCTTGCAGGATAGTAGGATGGAAGAATGATGGAGTGCAAAAGGAATTGCATGGGGGAAGAGTGAGCAAAGGCACGGAGCTGGAAGTGTGGACTTTGGGTGGAGCTGAATTCATGAAGGAGGGCCAAAAAGAGCTGCACCCTATAAGGTGACGAAATGAGGCCCAGGATTCCAGAGGCCCTTGGCCATTGGGGCCCCATTCCTCTTTGATAATAGAAGCCCCGGTGTTGAAGCCCTAGAGTATGGGTCCCCTGAGCAAGGGCCTCAAGAGGCCGCTCCTGGGTTAGCCCCTCTCCCTCTCCCTCTCGCTGCCCACCCCCTCCGCCTGCGTCGTCGGCCATCAGAGCCTCGCTTGCGGCCCCAGAGCCTCGCACTGACGCGGGCCCGAGCGTGAGTCAAGCCTGCGTCACGGCGCCCCGCCGCCAGGGTGGCCTTTCGGAAAGCGAGGGAACAGTGCGCGCTGCGCTCCGCCCAGCTCCGTTCCGCTCCGCAGAGCCGGCGCCGCCAGGGCGCAGGGAGGGCGGCCCTCGGTGCTGGCGACCGCAGCCCCACGCGCTCCCTCCGCCGCAGAACCTGGGTCGCAGGGCTGCTCTCCAGGGAGGCTCGAGTGCGCCGTGGGCGGGATCTGACCGGCGGCGAAGGAGGGAGCTAGGAGCGAGCAGAGTCGCGTGCGCGGACGCGCGGCTCCGGGTTCCCTCCCAGCTCCGGCCGGTGCCCGCTGCCGCCAGACTCGGGCTGCCCGCGGGAGGGGCTGTGAGCCCGCGACCCGTCGTCGGAGACCGCAGCTGCTCGGCCGGAGTGCAGGGGGTCGAGTCCGCGCGACGGCTCACGCGGGACAGGTGAGTCGCGGGCCGCGCCCTGCCTGCCTTTCCCCGGCCAGCCACCGCAACTTTAACGGTTCTGGCCCTGCCCCAGCCTGGAAGGCCTAAGGACAGAGGTGCGAGGAGGCGCTGCCAGGTATCCGCCCGGCCTTGCGCTTGCCCCGGGCTCCTCCCGCCGCTCCAACAGCCGTTGCCTGGCGACGAAGCCCCGGGGCCCGCGCTCCTCGGGCGCACCGGGGGTGCCCAGCTCTGCGCTCATGGGTTGGCCAACGGGCTGTAGCTTCCGGGGCTCGGGAGGGCCCAAGAACTCCGGAGGTAATCAAGCAGAGCTGCAGAGGCAAGCGCCCGCAGAGGACCGGGCAGGAGGCCGGGCGGGTTTGGCCTCCCGGAGCTACGCGCCCAGGGCGCAGTTCCCGCGGGGAGGCTCCTGCGCGGCGGGAGACCCCAGTCAGCTGCTGGGCTTCAGGCCCGTGACCTTGACAGTAACATTGGCAGGAGTAGCGGAGCGCTCACGCCCGAGATAAATATTTAATTCCCAGTCCTGGAGCTGGACCTCGCTGAATTCGGAGCTAGCGGGGAGCCCATCTTCCCTCGAGGGAAGCACATCTCGGAAGCGAATGGCTGACATGGGGGACGTGCGCGGGGTGCAGGTCTGGAGAGGGCGCCGTCTCGGGAGAGGCCTCAGCCACACTTATACCTGTGCAACCGTTCTCCCAAGCTTTGCTCAAGGTAGTCCGGGGAGGGCCGCTCCCCCAGGGGCGCGGCTGCCGGGGAACTAAAGCCTAGTGCTGTCTTTTTAAAGGCCAAACAGCCCTTCAGAAATCCTGAGGCCAGTCACCTTACAGGACCCAGCCGCTGTCAAGTGGAGTTAAAAAAATGTTTCCTTTCTATTTTTATTATTTTTGAAATTTTCATAACCAGACTACCTTTGGGGCAATTCAACTGTGAGAGTCAGGCAGGTGGGTTGGGTTGGAAAGACAAGGTTAGTGGTATAGAGAAGGAAGATTCTTTTGAGGGCACTGCCCTTGTTAACAGGAACTTCCAGGAACTAAGAAAATACTGTGATGGCTCAAAAACAATTCAACCAAAACTTTAGCTGGAGCCTGTTAGGCTGTCCCGGACATACTGATTGATGTCTGGAGAGCAAGGTCAGGATGTGTTGAGGTTAATGGTGATGTAGTCTTGTATTTCATGCTGTGCTTTCATTACCCCCATGGTCCAGTGAGGTGGACCCATCACCCGGGCAGGAAGAAGGGCTTTGAGGTCACACCTGATTGTCCTTGGCTGTGGTCCATCCGTGGGGACCGTCAGAGGTTTCGCCTCTCATGCTGGCCTTTTCTCCAACTCAGCAGCTGTAGCTAAGTAGGTGGTGAGTTTCAGCAAATCCCTGCAGCTCAGCCTGGAGAGTGACTCAGTGCAGGAGGCAAATCGTGCCCACCAGCTCTGATTGCAGTGAGTTCGTTTGGCCTGAGTCACACAGAGTTGTGTGTCAGCTGTTTGTGAGTTGAATGGAGGTCTTTACCAGGGCTTGTAAGCAGGGATGGCCAGAGCTCCCGGAGTTTGGGGGCCACAGACTAGAGGTAGGCAAGTCCTCAAGAGTGCACGGAGCAGAGCTCAGGCCCCTGGGCAGGGGTCCTGGAGCTCTGACCTCACAGGGAAGGCAAGCAGAGCCAGGATGGGGTTGAGGGGTTAGAGGAGGTGCTCCAGGGGAGGCTGTGGACTTGTGGTCAGACATGGGACCCGTGCTGTGCCACGTGACCTTATGTCTGGGGCCTTGGTTTCCTCAGTTATAAAATAGGGATGCCTGTGGAGCCTTTTCCTCGAGATTATTTTGAGCCCAGTGCTGGACACATAGCAGATGCTCCTAAAAGGTTAATTCCCCACCCCTTTCTTTATGGGCCTTAACCAGAGGTGGTTCTGTCTCTCCCCGCCCTTGGGCCTGGGTGCGAGAGGGGATGTGGAGACAAGTCAAAGTGTCAGGGCTTCACATGTGGTTGAGAAGGACCCATAATTCAGCTTCAAACTGACCTCTTCCCAACCTTCAGGTCTCCCCAGGACACGCTGAGTTAAAAGCAGGGTTATGAACCACGAGAGACTCTTAAATACAGAGAACAAACTGAGGGTTGATGAGGGGGTTGGGGGGGAAGATGGGAAATGGGCACTGAGGGCACTTGTTGGGATGAGCCAACAACACAGGGTGTTGTATGTAAGTGATGAATCACAGGAACCAAGAGCACACTGTATACAATGTAGGTTAGCTAACTTGACAATGAATTATATTAAAAAAAAAAAAAAGAGCAGGGTTGTGGAGGGTGGGGTGGAGGTGGCGGTTCTGATGGGTGCCCTCAGCTGTCTCTGCAACAGCTCCAGGGCGAGACTCCTGCACAGACCTTGACTCCTAGGATGGTTCATGACTATAGCCCGGTCTCAAGTTGTGGCCCTTGCCCGGTGGACTTCAGGGGTCCCTGCCCTTTGATCAGATCTTGCCATCCTCTCCCTCCCACCCCATCATCCTGTCCCTCACGGAGTTGGAAACTATGAGACAAGCACCCTGGAGAGGTGAGGCTAGACTTTCCCAGAGAGGAAACGAGTTGTCTCCTGCCTTCCCTGAAGGCTCCTGGCCCCTTGCTCCCTCTTTCTGTAAGGTGGCTAGGGATTGGTGCTAAGATGCGTGTGCCTCACGAGTGAAGGCAGTAAGAGGATCCCCAGTGCAGCAAGAGAGGCCATGCTGACCCACGGGACTCCAGTCTACTACTGGCAGTGTGTGTGTGTGTGTGTGTGTGTGTGTGTGCACACGCGTGTGTGGTATACATGCACCCTGGACCGATGGCCTCCCCACTGGATCTGGAAGCGACTTTCAAGGATGATTGAGATGAGAGGAGAGGAGGGTTCTTGAGAAGCAGGCTCCTGCTGCCTGTGGATCTTCCCTTTCCTCGAGCTCCTTTCCTATCTGAGTTTGTTGCAGCAGGACAATTCATCATTAATCCCTTTAAGGCTGCTAAGATAAGCAGCAGAATAATTTAAAGGAAAGATGGATTTGGGCTTTTTTTCCTGGAAGCAGATCTGAGTTATCACTCACTCCTAGGATGGGCTGCAAGAAGTTCTCACAGCCAAACATCTGGAGCACCAGGCTGGGAAAAGGCTTATCACTCAGCCCCTACAAAGCCCTTTCACAACGCCCTCCCCCAGACTTCCAGGGGTCAGAAGCACAATACCACAGGTGTTAACATGTGACCTTCAACTCAGGCAGGTCAGTGCCCTGTGGGGGAAATGCCTACTTTCTGTGCTTTTAGGAGGGGTGAGTGCTGTCTGGATTCCGGCAGCTCACGCCATGCTTGGCACACAGTGAGGTTATCCAGGTTTTTACTGAGGCTTCTGTGTTGCACTAAGTGCTTTATTCATACACCGTCTCGTTTAATCTTCGCTATGATCCCAGGAGGCGGATGTTATTCTCTGCAGTTTACAGATGTGGGACTTGAGGTTCAGCGAGGTTAAAGAATTCGCCCAAGGTCACACAAGCAGTGAGTGCCAATCTGGGAATTTGAACTCAGGTCTGGCAGATTTTTAACCACCTCACAATAAGTTCTTAATACATATTTGCAGACTCCCAAATGAGGCTGTCTAAACCTGTGGGTCCAGTTCTTTAAGCTAGTGCCCTGAGGAAGGGAGGAGTGGGCCTCCACCAATGGGGATTTGGGAGAGAATGAACATACCTAAACTTCCAGGGTGTGGGGAATATGGTCTGTGGTGCCAGGTGAGCTGGGAAACAGCAGACGACCCTAGGCTCCATCATGCTGCTTTATTGTCCTATCTTGTCTTTCCCCACCCCACCCCCCACCCCTGACCTCCATCACCCCTGACCTCATTCCTTAAAATTTGTCCAAGCTAGGGGTTGGTGCTGGAAGCAGGGAGAGGAGTCAGAGCAGATCGGATGTCGCCCTGAGGATTTCTGCATCTGCAGAATCAAGGACGGTCAGTCGCTGGTGGGAGCTCTGGTGTGTCAGATTTCTCTGCTGGAGAGTGTTTGCCAGGGACTTGCAGCAGTTGCTGGTGACGCCCCAGACTCCAGAGCAAAACTGTTAGCACTCTAGGGTGGTTCACAGTGGCCGCTGGCCTGGGCTGCTCAGAGGGACGCTCCTCGCTTCCTCACCTTGCCCGCCAGAGAACCCACTCTCCTCACCCTTGGGGCTCTGCCACCGGAGCCTGTGGCTGTGCTGGGAAACTTGGCATCAGATTCCTCCTGCCTCTTCATCTCTTTCTTCTCTGAGAACCCCCATCCCTGGTAGAACAGGCCCATACTGTCCTAGCCTGCCCGTTGCCTCCAAACCACCCTTGATCTTGGTGGGGAAGCTCCTGTGAGTGAGGGTGGATAATTGGAATGTAAGCATTAATGTTCCCCCACCCCCAGAGCACATAAAGAGATTTCCCAGAAGCCCTGGCTTCACAGGCAGCCATTTTGTGGAGACAGAGTCCTTTGGAAATTCCCCCTCTGTCCCACCCCCATGAGTAATTATTTAAGTTAAAACACTGTTCAACTATGGATAAATCCAGTTATTAAGAGAAATAGATATTCACAGTGCACAGATGAGAGAACATCAGCTCAGATGCAAGGCAGGTTGCTGTACTCCATTATTCTCATGTTCATGACCAGGTATATTTTGTTTGGAGAATAATTCTGGGTCAGGGAAGTCCTGGGCAGCCTGAGTCTCTGACTTGGGACTTGAGACTTAAAGCCCTGTTTGCTCTGGGGCCTCTTGTGGAGTGAGGGTAGGGGGGCATGGGTGGGAGGAAACAATGCCCCAGCTCCTGGGCCCTGGGGTCATCTCAGCAGCTGCATTTGTCTCCCCTCCCGCTCCCCCCCCCCCACAGCTGCCTCTCTGCCTTCCAAGGCCACTCACAGTTCATTTGAAGATAACAAGTTGCCTCTCGCTGTACTCCGTCATTTCTAATTACTGGTTTAGTGAGAATTTCCGCTGGATTCTGTGCACCACTAATTTGCAACCTATTCTTTCACTTAC